TGCCGTTATCTAATCCCACTGGTTCATTCAGTTTTTTTATCTCAAATATATGCGCATGATTAGTATTTTATAAAAATAACATTTATTTATTTTTATTGCCCCGTACAGGAAAAATCAGTTGCATCGAAAAATCGATACCATAACGATATTAATATTGCATATCGTGGATATAAGTTGATGCGCGCATATCGTTCTTTTCTTAAGGACGACGTCCTGAAGAAATCGAGGAAAGTAAAAATCTCACTGGTTCATTCAGTTTTTTTTATCTCAAACATATGCGCATAATTAGCATTTTATAAAAATAACATTTATTTATTTTTTATTGCTTCGTATAAGAAAAATCAGTTGCGTTTTTTTTTGTTCTTAAGGACGACGTCCTGAAGAATCGAAGAGAGCAAAAATTTCAATTCGCTTTTTGGAGCAAATCATGAAAATTGGACCGAGGAATATAAAGCGCGAGGAACGATTTGGGGCGCGTAATTCGCATTTTCCGTCAATTGACAAACGCTGAAATTATATTTGTGCGTTTCGATGACACGTTCGTGTCGTTCGGGTGCTATCGATCAGTCGAAATATATTTCCGGACTACGGCGTAGTTCATTCATACGGCACAATGGAATGCTGGTAGCACACACGCTGTTGTGCGTGACACGCTCTGTGTGTTTTACGTTCCCGCGATTTTACACATTCACAAGCCGGTAAACATCTGACCGAAAGACAGACGAGCCAGAGATAGCGAGAAAGTGTGTATGTGTGTGTGTGTGTGTGTGTGTTTTACCTCGAATCAAATAAGCGCACGATTTTCGTGGCGGAAAAATTGCACTTTTTTCAGAATAATAATGACGTTAATTTTAATTGAAATTTAAATTAAAATATTTCACACCTAACTTTGAAATGTCAAATTTTATTTCTGTCGAGTTTGCACATTAAAGATAATACGAATTCAATTAATTGTAGATTAGATGTCAAAGTGACGTTGTTTTGACGCTTAATGACGTCATGTTCGTAAGAGAGAGAAAACCGAATGTTATCCTTTAGCAGGAATAAATATTAAATTTCTAAAGCTTTATTAAATATTTCCTGCGTATATATATTTTTCCATTAACATAATTATCTATTCGAGAAATCGAATTTCTCGGCACTTAATTGTTTCAAATTGGCACATTAAAGAAAATACGAATTAAATTAATTGTGGATTAGATGAAAATATTTAATAAAGCTTCAGAAATTTTATATTTATTCCAGCAAAGGATAACATTAGGTTTTCTCTTACCAACTTGACGTCATTAAACATCCAAGTGACATCACTTTGACGTTTAATGACGCCAAGTTGGTAAGAGAGAGAAAACCTAATGTTATCCTTTGCTGGAATAAATATAAAATTTCTGAAGTTTTATTAAATATTTTCTTCATTTATATATTTACCATTAAAATAATAATCTGTTCGAGAAATCGAATTTAACTTAATAATTCGCTGTTGTTTTCTTCCCGATTCTCACACATGGTTGCTCCGAATTGAACACATGATCGATGATGCGAATATAAATGTTTGCGTACAGTAGTATCAGCAGTTGCTTTCGTGATTATATAGCTCACCTGTCAGTTCATTTTACCGTAGAAAGATGCAAGCCGGTCGAGTGAAATGTGTTTAGTTCGAATTCGATTGTAAAAAGAAAGATAGAGATAAGGCGCATTCCGCAAACGCGTAACGCTTTCTAAGTATGCGTTTGCAAAACCGCTGTCATTATCTCAGTTTTATAATATGTGATTGCTCGCGACCGATACTTTGCCTGATATAAACGCTTTTCCTCATAAAGATATTTTACTTTATAAGAATCCAAGAAGACTTTATTCCACTTGTGATATACAGGGTGTCCGGTAACTAACGGACCAACGATTACAAATGGATTCTTTGGTCAATTTGGGAACGATTTTTCCTCAGCGAAAATGTCGAAAAAGGTCATCATTTTTTACAACTTTCCAATATTTGTCATTATGTATCTTTATAACTAAGCCTCAAATTAAAATTTTATTATAGTAAACTCTACCTGAAATTAACTGAAGAATGTAATTATGTTAGACTTTTAACTCCAAAACGTTTAGTTTTCAAAAAACCCATTTTTTTCAATCGCTTATAACTCGAAAATTATTGACTTCTCAACATTTTTGCTAAGAAAAAATCGTCTCCAAATTGGCCAGAGAATCCGCTCTTAATCATTGATCCGTTAGTTACCGGACACCCTGTATATCTTTTGTTTTGTGAACAATAAAATGATACCATAAGCATTCCGCTTGTCAAATGAAACCTAGCTTAGGCTAGGTGTATTTTAAATTTGACAATCCAAAAAAATGTGTCATGGTTATAAGTCTAAAGAATTTAATATCCTATGTAAACATCTAGTCCTAAAAATCCCAAAATATTACATTGCACGGATCTCAAATGTTTGACATAAGAAAATCCGCTTACATCATTCGTTGTGATCAATTTTAAGTAAACAGACCGCAAGACTTTTTTTTACATTGCAAAATACTGAATTATGAAAATATTATTTGACAGCTGTCAGACAATGAGTATATATTGGTGTCTTTGGTGAAATTCATAATTATTAAAACGTAATGCGACATTATTTTTACAGCGATTGACATATTTGTATACATATTCGAATTACCATATATTTTTCGGATAGATTTCCGATCGGCAGCTAATAAGCGCTTTCTAATAAGCGAAATCGTTGCGGCGGTTTCGTAATGCATAATTATCGCGGCATACGCGCTTTTGAATCCCGACACGTGCGTCGTAATAACATTACCTACCTGGTCGCTTTTGCCGGACCAAATATATGCATTACTTTACGATACCTTGTTTACAAAGCGTTACTATATACGCGGAAATGCGAAACAACGCGATCACTATCAACGAGTTATTTTTGTAATTAAAACCGAGAAGACAGTCATATATTATGTATGGTCAAGTTTTTGTCCTGATAGCCAACTCTTGATAAGCATCGTGCATTGTCACGAAAAATTCATTTTTAATGGAAACTAAATTGATGAACTAGAAACCCGAGAGATAAAAAAGAAATATTGTTCATGTCACTTTAAATTATATAAATCCTACATTTATTTAATTAATTAATACATACTTATAAAAATAAATTGTAAACTAAGAGCATTTGTTATTGATGCTTTTATATATTATTAATTTTAATAATTTTTTTATGATTTTTTGTTATTTAATGTTATTTATTATTTCGTCGGTTGCAGTTGCATCAAATAATCCAATAATTTAATTAGGGATTATCGATATTTATTTTAACACCTTGTGACTCGTGTAATACAATTTTTTTATTTTTCTCTTTCTTATATTATGTGTTTAGTATCTGCACTGTGTTTAGTTACATTCTGCAATTTTTATTGCTAATTTGCACATTTTTTATTATACGCTTGCGTGGAAAATTGTATCGACAAGAAAAATTGTATTCACTCGATAAATATACTCAAGAAAATAAATTTAAAAATAATTAGCAGATTGAATATAACAACCATATATGTCTAAATGTATATGGCCTCTAGAGCGGAAGTCTGATGTAAATCCATGTCTTCAATTGATGACGCGCGCGATAATCGAATGCGCGAAGAAACGTGGATAGGATTAAGAGAGCGATGTGATGAACATCTTGGTAACCGATGTACAGTAGAAAGAAACATTCATACTGATCATAAAGTGTAAATGATTTATGATTAGAGCTGTTTGTAAACGAAAAATATCATCGGTGATCCTTCTACGTATAATGCAAGTGTAGCTTCGTATTTCGTCGTACAATTGTAGATGATAATATACATATGATATCTTCAATACTTTCTTAGAAATTGCTCTTTTTCCCCTAATTTTTTAAATTAATATACATTAATCATTCTTGGTCAGGTTATTATTTAAAATCTTACGCAAAAAATTAATAAAAAAAAAAGGAGTAAAAATAATAAATTTATATGTCATCTTTATAATTGTATAAATATCAAATCATAAAAAAAAAGAAAAAGAAAGAATAATAAGAGTGTAATAATTTTCACTATAACCCGATGCATAAATATATTTGAGAAATGCAACGAATGCACCGGTGGACATGCATCTGCACCTGACATTGAATGATTCCTGCAAAATTATTGCGACGGAACAATCTTTTTGAATCGTTCATTTAATTTAATGAGACCACGAGTCTTCTACGTTCTTCACTCACTTGGCTCGTTATAGAATATATATTACAGAGAGAAATGCATTACGAGTGTGCATCCAACCGCGCATTAAATGCCGCGATGCGACGCCAGTAAAAGCGGTGCAAAATTAGGTGTCTGTCGGACACATTTCGGACACCCGAAGGTGCAACGTGCGAATAAAATGATCGTAAACTGGATTATGTTCGGGAGATTCTGTCGCGAGGCATTTTAGCCATAGACAGGTTGATATCAATAAATCTAATCATTTATATGATTAAGAAATGAATCACAATTTGGATTTTCGAGACTGAAGTATTTGCTGGTCAAAAACTTGATATTAAAATACTTTGTTTATAAATTAATAATACATTAGTAACAAACACAATTTTGCACTATCAAGTAAAATTGGATATTTATAAATGCACGAGCTTTTCCTTCGATCGCCATTATTTCCTCTGATTTTTTTTTTTTTGAGTGGAACTGTTAATAATCCAAGCAAGAAAGATACTGATATAAAGTGGTATTATCTATTTATTTCTTCTTTTCTTCATTTGTATGCAATAATAAATAAATCAAGAAAGAGAGTCCAATTTAACTAGTATTGAATCCTTTATTCGTTTTATTATCAATAATTAATGAGAAAGATCAGTGATTCTCAATCAGTCTATTGATTCGAAATTTAATTATGCGAGAAACATATATATATATATATATTATTCTCATCTTATTTCTTTAACGTCAAATTCAAATCATTTAACGTATACTTGATTGATTGCTGATTACAGAAAAGAAGAAAGCGAACACAAAAGAAGTGTGAAGACGGAAAAAGTACACAAGAAAGAGAGAAAAAGAGAAAAAATAGGAGCAAAGAATAGAAAGGAAATGCTTCTATTGTTAGAATCATAAAAAGGGCTAAACAATATTTTACATTGTAAACTCTAGATGTCAAAATAACACAACGCGACGCAGGAGACCTGGTGCATTGCAAACATGATATTGTGTCTGACTATTAAATCAGACAGAAGCTGAAGAACAGAAGCTGCAAGTATTTCGGTATGCGGGAAAAAGGAATATATCCTAATATCTCCAAGGAAGAATTAGACATCAAGAAAGAAACAGAGAAAGAAGAAATATTTTCCAGGGTAAGCTCTTTAAAAATTGAATAATATCTGCAAAGAGCAAATTAAATATTTACACACAATTAAGGAGTAAAATAAAGGGAAAAAGTTATGTACAAAGAAAAATAAATATTTTCATGCAACCATCAATTTACAAAATTTATATAATAAATTTACGGACAAGAGTAAATTTAAATTTTGTAAGAAAGCGAAAGACTCAGATTCGATTGCTAATTAAGTGATTTTGCTCCGATATTTTTATTCGTATCTTTAGGAAGATCAAAGTGGATCATTGGAATTAAAAGTCTCGAACTGAGATTTAATTCAAATAAAGTCTTGATATTGTAACCAAGCAAAATTCGTACTCTATACATAGAATATCTAATTTCAGCAAATAATAGTTCTATCTTTTATTCAAATTTATATTTCGTATCGAGAGCCTTTATTTTTATTGCTATAGAATAAAATTATAATATTGTTATAAAATAAGATTCTATGATTACTCGTACTCTCTCAATTCTCAGATGTCTCACTCTCGTGCTCTTGTAAAAAAAAAGAGAAAGCAATTCGAAATGTACGCAAAATAACAATTAATATTATATAATTAATTTTATTGTTATCTGTTATATCAATAACTTATAAATTGAACTAACTGCCATAATACATAGTTTTCTCAAAGGTGTCAAATTTCCAGGTCCAGGACTAAAGAAAACAGAAGCCCGAAACGACGATTAAACCAAAAATCTGTAAGATATATTATTATTTATTTTTTATATAATATTAATATAATATTTCATATAATAAAATAATAGTATATTTTAGATTTTATATACACATTAGTTAATTGTAATATAATATTAATATAACATTGAGATATAATATAATTTAATTTAATTAAATAAATAAATAGTATAAATTAATAGGTTCTCTTAAATATAATCAATAATATAAAATAAAAGTAGCAATACAAAACACAACATAGTAATTGAAGCGCGATAAATTGTTTATTTAAAAAAACAAATAAATTAATTTTTACAAACATTTAAATAAATAACATTTATTTTATTATTATTGGTAGTTTTATTTTACATTATTTTTATATATTATTTATTTTTACAGTTACTATTTATTTTTTATGATATATTTATTATTATCTTATTATTTTTATATATATTATTTTTTTTATTATATTTTGTTTATATTTTTATTTTCTATTATATATTATTATTACAATTATATTTATAAGTAAATATTTATTGATTTATTATTCATTATTTTATATAATATTAATATAATAAAAAAGAGTGAAAGTTTTATTATGAAAACAAAGTATAATTTTAATAATTAACGTTTTAAGTATAAAAAATTGAAATTTATAGTACCCATACATGATTTTGCAGACAACTATTATAGTCGAAGATAATAGCAAAAGGATAAAATACATTCAACTCATTTTTTAATTATTGATTAATTTATTTCTCATTTTTTATTATTTTATTTCTGCATTATTATAATAAATAATATTTCATTTTTCTTTGTCAAAATACAACATTAATTTTCTTATTTTCACTTCTGCAAATTAGTATTATTATATGAATACATATAATTATTGAATATTGAACATTTTTTAAATAATATTCTAGTAAAATAAATGCTAGTACAAGTTTCTCTTAAACTAATTAATAAATCAAAATGCATATCTCTTGTAATAAATCTTTTGTAATAAATCATGGAAATCATGTCTTTGAATATATTAAATTAATGTAGCATTTTTAATTGCCATAAAATTTACGCTACAAAGAACGTAACAATATTAAATGAGTTATTATTATTTTTATCGAAAAATTTTCATGGCTTTTATGATTTTAGCACAAACAACTTTAGATGGTGTTAACAAAAGGTTAACGAAATAAACATAAAAATATTTTATACCGGACGATTGTGCACGCGCGCTAAGGTCGATTGCACAATTCCATTAGCAGCGAATTTTACATTGGCAAGATAATACTTAATTTGTTCATTACGAACACGTGCATTAAAATTTAAATTTTAATCGTCTCCGATGAGTCCGGCATTAAAAATGTAATGCATAATGTGTCCGTTACGAATTACATATTTAAATTTTCATGAGCGATTGGCCAGTCGGTGCGGTTATTAAAAATGTAATCTTCGATTTCCGAGTACTGCATAAAAGTTTCAAGCCTATATGCATGAATTATCAATAATTTTATACATACGTAACGAGTAAATTATAATAAACTAGTCTGTTTAACACCATTTTGAATGTATTTTATCATATTAAAGCTTACACATTTTGGAAAAACAATTATGAAAAGTCACAAATGTCATATTCAAGAGCGCATGCAGCAAACTTGATAATAAAATTAATTAAATATAGATATAGCACGGAAGTTTAAATATGTATATTGAAAGATTAAAAAACAAGATAAGGAAAAATGAAAAATGATATTTTTCTGTTATTTATAAAATAGTTGTCGGCTGAATATATAAGAACATTGATATTTAATTAATAACTTGATTCGATCAGTCTATAGCTTAATTTATCACTTAAAGACATATCATTATATTAATATATTGATTAATATCATTGATTCGATACATCATTATTATAAGTATGATATGATCTTTCTTGATTAAAAAAATTTCTACTTATTTATTCTATATTATGCATATAGTAACTAGTTGTTTTTTTACCGACAAGCATGTTGCAGAGAAAATAAACGGATGATCGTCCACTCACCGCAAGAGATTCAAGAGCCTACTAAATCACCAAAAAATATACCTAACCACCTGCTAAATATAATAATTGAATTTAGTATCGGAAACGTGTAATCTCGAGGAATTTTCTGGTGCGTTTCTCTTCCAAACATATTTTTATCATGAGACCAATATTATGAAACACATCAACCTAGAGCAACCAGAATTTCCCTTATACCTGCTTTTATTTGGGAAAGTTGCTTCTTGTCGCAACAGTTGCGTGAAGTAAAAAAAAAAAAAAGAAAGAAAGAAAGAAAAAAGATATCCATGACAATCGGGTACAATTATTCGTCGCAATAAACAACAGCGCTAGTCAGCTGTGGAACAAACAAGCCTTACGTACGGTCGAGGCACTCAGTACTACGGCTACGGTGAAAGTGCGAATCGAAAGACAGGCGAGGGTGTTTGAGGGTGGCTTTGTGAGGAGTGAACACGATAGCACCGCGAGCTGCGAGTCCTAAGGGGACGGAAGCCATGGCGGCCTCTTCGTCCTCGTCGAGCGGTGGCGAGCAGCAGTACTCGCTTAGGTGGAACGACTTCCACCTCAGCATTCTCAACTCATTCCGGTGTCTGAGAGAGAAAGAAGACTTTGTCGACGTCACGCTTGCCTGCGACAGCTGCACCTTCACCGCGCACAAAGTCGTTCTTTCGGCCTGCAGCCCATACTTCCGCGACTTGCTAAAGGTTAGTGCTCCTTCTTCTTCTTCTCATATTTCTCCTTCCTAAATGTTTGGATGATTAAATTAATGATTGAGTTAAGGGAATCCTAAACGTTCTTGAGAAGTCTGTCGTTTTTTCCTGTTTTATCGACAAAATGTGAAGTTAGATAAATTATAAATTTATTTATTGACTATGCGGATTGTTTTTTACCTGAAATTAGAGCGCTTCGCTCTTTGTTAATGTTAATACTTTAATTTGTACAGGAAAAAGATTTATCAATCTGTATAGTCAATAAATAGATTTATAATTTATCTAATTTCACATATTGTCGATAAAACAAGAAAAAACAACAGATTTCTCAAGAACGTTTAAGTCACCCGAACATTGAGGGAAAAAGGAAACGATTCGATAAACAGAACTCGTGCGTTAATATTATTATTATTGGTAAGACACATTTTTTCAGCACTTAAGGAAATGACAGCTCATAATCGCGAACTATTTACTCTGTGAGTATAATTTCTTTTTGCAGATCATTTTTACGATTTGTAATTATACTTACTTATATGTATCTATTTATGTAGTTCGCGATTATGAGCTATGATTTCGTTCATTTTCTAGCCATCATGTGCTAGAATTCCTCTACACATTTGTGTAGTGTCATGTGCGACCCTGACTCGACTTTCCTACTTTATGATCGAGTTACACATCGCTCGCAGTGACTAAATTACATTCCTCTGTGATTTAATAGTGCATCGTTGCGAAATTTTCAACAAGTATCGCAAATTTAACAATTAAAACGTCAGTCTTAATTGAGCTAAAAAATTATATTTCTTAAAAAAATGGTTTTTACTTATATTTCACAATTGTAATATTAATATTAACGAAAAAAAAAACACACATACGTTCTAGCTGCTAATTTCAGATAAACATTGACAGTAGTAGAGTAAGTGACGGCTGTATTTCATATATTTTATGTCATATCTATTTAAGAACAAAATATTTTTCACATTTTATTTAACACAGTCAAGTTTTTTATTTTTTTCAACAATTATATTTTTTAGAACGCAATTTATGATACGTGTAATTTTTCAAATAATGATTAACTTTTTACATCAATATATAATTTTGACACCCGAGACATATACATATATTATATATGCACTATCGACTCTTGTTTGTCAAAATCACGTTTTTTACGTATTTTTTTACGAATCAAAAATTACAGACATGCTTCATGCATGCCAATTAATTTTATATGAGCAAGTATAATAAATTTATAAATCGCTTATATTGCTCCGACTTTTATGATTTTTTCCTCATTTCTTGTCTAGTCTTTGCTGCCTCTTTCACGATTAATTACTATCGCGTGTGCACTAATCACAAAAATAGTACCGTGAATTGCATGATACTCATTTTTATATTGAGAGGAAAAATGTGAAAATAATGATTATATAAAACTATGATTAGTGCTGGAAAATCGTACTAAATCATCACGAATATTAATTATTTACATTATCTGATAATCATTAATAATTCGTAAAGAATGATCGTTTAATCTGCATCTCTTACTATCATAATATATTTCAAGAAATAACACGATAATATAAAATATTTATAAATTAATTTGGAAAATGTGTTATTTATAATTATTGTCTGATGATTAATAAAGTAAAATTATAATAAATTGATTTTAGATAACGAATAAGCAGAAAAGTAGTAAAATTGAGTTTTAGTCAGACTAATTTTCGATCTGACTAGCTTTAGATGATTCTGAGATATGCATAAATTAATTTCTGAAGTCTCACTTCAATCGCGCGGGTAGAAGATGAGAGATTTATTTGTCAGACGATTTTTTGCTCGTTCGAATTTCATCGCGTGTGAATGATAACAAAATCATCGTATATAAATACGTAACAAAGTTCGACGACGTAAAGCCATTATTTACAGCGATTGTCTTGTTGTCATCCGCTACTATGCTGACTTATACATTGTTGTATATAATGTAGCTCTTACATACGTAATCTTGTTATCATTCATAAGTTGGAAACCGAACGAGGAAAAAATGTCGTGTTAGTTTTTGTATACGCCGCGTATAACCGCGTTTTTCTTTGCAATAACAAATGAAGTATGCATGCGATTAATTCAGACTATATATTGTGTTACATAAATGTCGTATTTTAATTATTAGCGCGATCGCAATTACCTATTTTCTTGCGGATGACTAGTTTATAAATGTAATAAATAAATAGCAAAAGAGACAAACAAGAATTTGAAAGAGTCAACAATGATGAGATAAACAATTTATAATTTATTATTTATTATAAAATTAATTGATGATTTATCTTAATAATTTTATCTTTTGTGGAGAACTAAAATAACTTTTTAAATTAAAGATCTTTATACTTCTAATTCTTCTATATATTTTTCTCAGATTTTTTTTAGAGAAGTTACTTTGAGATCTCCTTCTAATTAGACTTAAATAGCGCATAAGCGAATGGAGAGGTAAATGCAAGAGTTTTATTTCGCGCTTTACCGCAATCGCTAATTATAATAACTCTGGTAGTAATTACATATTCTAACTGATTCGAACAAACGCGCAGCAACCAGACCGATTCTTATCTCATAAATCTCGCACGTTACAAATCAACGTAAAATCATCGAGCACAATTGCAACTTCACTTTTCTCGCATGCTATTATTTTTTCAGGATTGGATTTCAATAAATATATTTATATATATATATATATATATATATATATATATATATATATAAAACTACAGAGCGCGCGTAATATTGATTATGAAAGAAATAATAATCACCTTTTTATGTAATTTATGCTATTTATTAAATTTTCCTTGATAAAATGTGACATCAAAAGAATAACAATAATATTGTGGGAATAACAAATAACAATTAAATATAATTATCGAGATAAAAATAGCGTTATATATTTTGATAACGTTATATTTCTGCATCAAAGGATTTCACATATATGGTAAATAATATTTTCATTTTCTGAAATTTTATTTTTCCAGTATTTTGCGGAAGTCATCGAGGTAATCCATTCGATACGATTATTGATAAAAAAAACAATATATTCTTACGTAGTATATTAAAGTTTACAAAGAAATTCCGGTTATATCAGAGATCCACCCTTTACCCTCGCATCATCGATCACTTTTTGACATGTCGCGATATCATCAACATTCCGAGAGATTCACACTATCTTTTCATGAACCTGTTTTCTAGTCTGATTACTTTTTCCCAAAGTGGCGTTTCATAAATTCCCATCATTAAAAATTACTTATTCCGCTAATTCAGCTATGGCCCGTTCTACAATATGTCGTATGTCGGAAGGAAATTTCGTTTTCAAAAAAGAAATTTTCTTATTGGACCGCTTACGTTCCGACACATTGTAGAACGAGCCTATAGAACAAAATTCCAATTTTGTCGTCCAAAAAAATAGAAGCGTTTCTTACAAAAAATCACGACATTTAGCATACGCTGGATCCCGACGATTATATTATTCTGCGTTGGATTGGTCGTCGTTCGAGGAACGACGACTCGGGATGAAGCGACCGACTTTCTAATTGACGCGTACCACTAATTGATTTTAAGTGTCGGGCATAGTACTCGAGGCGAGTTAATAAAGCTTACACGCCGGCTGTGAGCCGTATGCTTACGTCATACGTCCACTATATACGTGGACACACGACTGCGATGGCGCAGGATTTTATGTTAGTTGTATCGCTTGTGAACCTCCGAACACAATTACATTAAGGCCAACCGGCCACGTTGTAATGACGCTGGGTGGGAAAGACAGACTAGAGAGAGAGAGACCAGTCTCTGTATTAACAACCTTCTTACAACAAGGCGGCAACAAGAGTTACCATTATGGCATTAATAGCAGACGCTCCACTGTATTACCCGCTTTTTGTTTGCTCACTTGCGCGATGACGTAGGATTCCATATTGGTTTCGACGATCGCCTACTTATTGTTAGCGTATAAACAGCGCCGGAGTGTGGTATAGTAATTCTTATACGGCCGATGTGACCTCGATCGCAAGCGTAATCAACGCTCCAGCTAGGCTATAAAGAGGCATTTCGAACGTGCGTTCGTGATAAATTCGGTAATATCGTGACTGACGTTGAGGTGATCCTAAAAAAAACTTTTATCCATCACTGAAAAAAAATTTGTTATAATAGAAATTTTGTTAGATTTAATATGTTACGTTTAATTTAAATATTTTTACATGTTCAATTAACAAAATAATATCTAGTTGAAAGGTTTAACCATTTTTTTTTCAGTGTAGAAATGCAAAGTTGAATCTTTTTATTGATTATACAGATTGAAAAATCCTTTTCACTCCCTCCGTTGATAATATGAATACTTTAATTGTGCGAAAGGATTTATTCACCTGTACAATCAATCAAAATATTAATAGTTGAACTCATCAATTTATGAGAACGAGGGAGCGCTATAATTTCAGATAAAAATAATTTTTAAACTTACATTTTCTTATCGATCTTTTTATTTATTTATTTATTTTACACAAAATAATAGCGTTCACAGTTCATTATTATTCGTGCTTTAATTGGAAAAGGATTTTTCAATCCGTGTAACCAATAAAAAGGTTCACAGTCGAATCCAACTTCGCGTTCCTATAATAAAACAGTGTTTTAGGATCACCTTAAGAGTAAAAATAAAGAGGAAAAAAATAAAGCGAGTTTTCCTCCGCGAAAGAAAAAAAAACAGCGCGCGTTATGAATCCTCCTCATTGGAAATCGCAATAACAAACTACTACTGCGGGTCGCAATAAAAAACGAGACGGATAAGCGTTATCCCGAGGCTATTTTTCCAGAGATATTTACCGCTACACTGGACGCCTCTTTATATTGTATATGATTTTCATTTTATTTTCCATATTAATTATTGCGTATAGCATTAATCGGTTTGCTCGGCAAATAACACGCTCGGATGGGTTCTCTCATTCTCGCTCGCGACTTCCGGAAATATTTTCCAA